CGTGTAGGCCCCATGCTCCCCTGTTTGTCTGCATCCTTCAACCAAGTGACGTTCCTTATCTTTTCCATCCATTTGTCCTGCAAAGCACGGACGGACAGAAATATGACAAGAGCCGACTGAAGCCTCTGACTCTAGCCTCTCCCCTCTCCCCCTCAACCACCTTAACTCCAAGTTAAGCACGTTTATGAGTACGGCGTGGCAGCAGCCTTTTCTTCACCAATTGTGGAAACCGGCAGGCAACCACAATTGATGGAAAATTGGCTGGCGCCGCGCCAAATGCACCCCTCTGACAGCTTTTCTTATTGTTTTCGCAACAAATCAAGAACCTGCCATTTAATTTCATGTAGACAATGTGCAGTAGTAAACATTATATTAACATATACACCCATAATACATCTGCATGAAGAATTGAGCGCTTATTAAGATTAAGTGATACAGCACAACCAATCAATCAATAATTCATCAGATATTAGATTATTAAGATGTACATTACCTAGCGTCTAGTCATCACTGAAATATTCAGTGGAATCAGAACTGCCCTTCTGGAATGTTCAGGGGAAAGACTGAAAGACACTAATAACCCTTATCGATAGCAGCCTGTACAGCCTCTCGAAGCTTGCTCATTGCAGTTTTCTGACAAGGAGCCTTAATGACACCTGTACCCGAGACTATCACATTCGCACCAGCTTCAGCTGGTATCTGAAATGCACCGCGTTGACAATTCAAACCGACAGACCCAATCAAACTGACTCACTTGAATATTCGAAGTCGATATGCCGCCATCTACTTGAATATTGAGTGAGGGGTAAGCCTTTCTTAATGTGCGAACCTTTAAAAAGAAGTCTCATCATTACTCTTTCTATTTACAAACATATTCCGCGATAATTGTATGGGCGGAAACCTCTATCCACTGTGGCTTTCTTACTGATATTTGACTCCTTCTGCTGATTTCACAAGAAAAGAAGGGCTAATGAGGAAGACACAATGATTGTGATTCCTCTCTACCCCCTCCCCAATTTTCCCGCCAATCGAAATATCGCGGAATGTATCTTTAAAGAACTAATTAACATGTCACCTTGTCCATCATGTCACCCATGAATTTCTGACCACCAAATCCTGGTTCGACAGTCATTATTAAAGCCATGTCAATGTTATCAGCAAACCTGGAAATACTGGCTAAAGGACTAGCCGCAGCGCAACCGCACGCGAAGGGCATATCAACTCGCTTCACTAGTGAAGAAAAAAGTTTTTGTGGGTAAAAGCATTTACAAATTGGTCCACATACTTACTGAAGGACTTTCTCCACTGGAGTTTTCGGTTTGATGGCAAACCCAACTTTCATATTGGCTTTGTGGATCTGAATAATTGCAAGGAATTACTACAGTTCTCCAAGAATGAATCTCAGCGTTAATGTATAGATGAAGATTGCGAAGACTTCAGAAATACCTTTGTCATAACAGAGAGACGACCTTCTTGCATTCACCACCTTTTTCATGGGCGGCCTCCCAATGGAAACAGAACTGACTTGCTCCTGCCGCAGCCATTGGAGTCACCCATCGACCAGGGTCGGAGACCTAAACAGCCGACACCGTAACAATTCAGAAACCCTATTTTCTGGGGTATAAGGACCGCTCTTGTACAGGGCGCACCTTTCCCTCAAGCTTTCGTTTTTTGCGCGTGTTCTCGCGACCATGCAAGTAAGTCGCTCTACATCCAGCAAAAGAATAATACATATGAAAAATAAATCGTGAAAAGTTCAGCTGATAAAAGTTCGAAAAGTGCGAAACTAGTGACGCTAGTTTCGCACTTTACGCTGCGCGTAAATGCTGGACTATCACGTACTGAACTAAACGATTTTTTGAGAGTATTCCATAACTTCTGAAATGCGGCGGCAGCGGCCAAAAAGACAGGCAGCGACATTCGCACCAGGAGCAAAGGGGCAGTGCTACACAGTGTAAAACCAACAAGCCAAGAAATGCTCTGCTGACTTCTGCGCATTTTGAGCGTCTGCTAGCGTTTTAGCGTTTTGAGTAAAACGGTCAGAAGCTGACAGACGCTGAAACGCTGCCGCAAAGTATGAGAGCTCCCTTACGCTTCCCCCTGAACTATATCCTTTTTTGATAATTAGACCACCTATACGACAAGAATTCGAGTACTAACCATGAGATGAACATCGAAAAACGGCTCAGGTCCAAGGTTTTTCCGCAACGATTCCACAAGTGGATGACCGAAAGTCAAGTTCGGAACGAAGTGCCCATCCATCACATCCAAATGTAACCAGTCGGCACCTGTACATTGTCTTATAAGGGCTGTAAAAGAACAACGGCAAAAGTAACAAGAGCAGTTTCAAAAGGTATAGTAAAAATTACGACAGGAAAAAAAACACAACCTGCCATAAGAAGCTTCCGACACTCTGCAGCCAAGTTGGCGAGGTCTGCGTTCAAAATCGACGGACATATCGCCGGACGGAGGGCCATGCCTGGTTTCTAGTTCAATTTAAACAATAAAGATTTATCTGAACACTTTGACGTGAAAACAGTCCGGCTGACTCCTACAACTGTTTTCCTTTAGATATTAGACAGATAAAGCTCAAAAAAGAAATATAAGGCTAGATTCTCAATCTAAAGTCGATGAATCAGGCCAAATATAGCCACGCTCTAGTTGATGAGTTTGACCGCGAAACCACCACCTATAGAACGCCATTAGAGCCACAGAATATATTAAATTATTGGCAACGGTGGGCATACGTAAAAGAACGACGTCACCCTCAAATTTCGACCCCGCCCATCCAAGACAAAAAAGTCGTCAGCTAAAAGCTCCTAGTTCAAAAGGCATACTCCACGCCGGTCTTATCAGTAGGGTGACTCGGTCCACTGGCCTGATTATTCAGAAAGAAGGGCTCTATTGAAGTAACCCTTCTTCCTGGATGCCAAAATAAAGGGAGCAGGAAACGATGGCTCTCAATGGAAGGAGTAGGCGACTTTGCCCCTACGACAAGCGACTGGAAACGCGCTTTAAAGTCACATTCAATGACTCCGACTGTGAGTCAGCGTTATATGATGTGCAGCTGTATATCGTGTACAACTTCGGCACTTGAGAGCATGATGAGACCACCCTTTTAGCCTGACTACACTTAATACAATGTACAGATATCCATCTTCATTGCTTGCGCGACTGTGCGCTCCGCCACTCAAGTTCTCCGGTAGCTTGCCCGCGCTTGGTGTGCGGTTAGCACATCCGAGGAGTGGTGAGAGCGGCGAATGAGGCGTTGCATAGATATCTTCACTTCAGGACTCAACGGATCAAACAAAGCAGTGTTGCGGTACGTCAACTAGCAAAGAGATACTCGGCTAATTTATTCGCAGTACTCGCATCGGAACCCCTAAACTACACCCTCGCGACTGGCATCCCACGCGTGTCCCACAATGCTAAAAAACAGCAGGTCTCATTCAGGTTGAACCGGCCACTGCTTCTTACTTTCATTCATTAGGAACCCATGGAATCTTTTTAATTAAGTTTCCATCAAGGGAGAGCATCACTTCGGGCGCAAATCCACCGTGTGATAGATAAGTCACGCCGCTGACGTCGCGCGCAGCAAGTGGCGCGACAAAACCAGAAGATTTACCTAGCACGTTCAATAAAATCGATAAATTGGGACAAAATCCCATGGAATCAATACATCTCCAACGAAACGACTGAATGTCGGGATCAACCGTTCGATGAATTCATCACAATACATCTTTGAAATGTAATCATTCATCAGCACATTCATCGGGATCCAAACAAAATATGAACGAAAATATCGCGCACAGGTTAAAAAAACAGCATTATGATCTCCTTCGAAATGTAAGCTGTATCACAGACGATAAAAGAACCGAAACCACATAGACACAATGTATCACTGAATATTTCTGTAATATAAACGACGGATGATGTTAATGATATTGCTATAGACAAAGCCATATAACCACCCTAACCTTCGCGAATAATATATGAACCCATGGTTCATTTGAGCTATATTATGAGGATAAATTTGGAAAAGAAAGGAATACGTCGCCAATATTGTAATGACGAGAAAGAGATAATTACTTTAATGAAACACAATCGCAAGACAAACGACATCCAAGAACAGGGGTATGTGACAAGACAATCGTATGTCGCAGAGCCGCTGGACGTCACAGTGTATACGAAATGCTGTCCTCCACTTGGCAGATTAATGTGAACCGAGAAAACGTCGCGCCAATCGCCGCGCGCGACTGAGCGGCATTACGATTGTCTTGGCAGTCTCCCAGGAATAGATACCCAGACAATTCTGAATCGCTGTCTTTGACAAATAGAAGGCAACAATGCATCGGCATAAAATTGCATGAAAATAGGTAAAAATCTGTTCCGTTACGCTAATTGCAGTACTGAGAATTCAGCTCTCAGAAATGCTCTACAAATAAAACTTTGCGAAAGAACTGAAACGCTCTGAAAAACCCTCCTATATGCGGTTTAAAAGGCTCCAAATTACAGTTGACAAAGAATGAGAATAGAACGCGTCTTTACATACTCTTCGTGAACCGAATACTTTCAGAGTGAAAATCTCTCATAATATTAGAGTAACATTCACGAAATGAAAAGTTTGTAACTTCAAGCGACATTCTTGAAAGGACCATGTGAGAGAAGAGAAAAACAAGCTCCATTCAGCTTTTGAGATAGAAGAACACAAATAATAAGCAGCACGTCATCACTGCTGCCATTATTACAGCGTCCTTTCGCTTCTTGTATTGAATTTTCTGCATAACATTGTTGATCATCGGGTATTTCTCTGAACAAGGAACACTAATCATAGTGAAAGTCTCAAAGATCTCCTGGCTTTCATTATACTACCTAAAGAAAAAGTGAGACAAAGGGAAAGAGAAAAGGCAAGAAAACCAAGCTATCTTCAAGGAAACTAAAAAAAAGTTAAATCAATGAAAGAAGCAATAGATTGCTTTTCAAAAAGTTCGGAAGTAATTTGGACACTCTTCGATTAGGCAGGGGCATTTTGCACTAGCGCTAGTTCCTTTTGCTAGTTGCTGTTAAATTAAACGTTACACCGTGTGAGACATTTAGAAACATGTAGAGTGTAAACGATGCTCCTTCTAATTCGTAACTTCAAACGAATTTGCAGGTCTCCAAAGTAGGCATTGGCAGTGATCGATGGGCACCAAGAGAATGCTCTCAAGCCGAGCTTATTACGGTTCAAATTAGGTACTAATTTGTACCGTAACAATCTGATTGCAATTGGTAGACACCGCTTGACTCTTACGTGAGGAGAAAAGCAAAAAAGCGGTCAAAAGCGCTCCAAGGCCCAGCTGAATTTCAGAATTGTACGAGCATGCGGAGAATAGAGACGGAGTGACGCTTCGCAGGAGAGTTGCTGGACAATCGTTGGCTACAGAGCACATGCACACACAAACAATGAAAGTGGGCATTCAATATCATAGATGAAGCCAAACTGACGAAGACGAAGACTATCAAAGTGAGCAAATGCAGCTTCTGTCTAGGACATTCTCTCGCGGGGAGGGTCTAGAGGTAATTACGCATCGCTTTTCTGGCCGAGCACCTACAGGGAGAATAAAGGAAGAGTGAAGAAGGAATGAAGGAAGAAGGAAAAGAAGTAAGAGAAGAACGATTTGGCGGCGGATGGATATATTTATACCCAAACTGGTATATTGTGTGCGGTTACGGCCTGCTTATTGAGAAGAGATCATATTTACTAGGCAATCATGGAATGTGTTTTAAACAATATTTGTGTAAATCCGTAGACGTCACAAAACGACTAAATCAATTAGCGGAGAAGAACTAATAACAATATATTACGGACAAAAAATAACAACATACTGGCCAAGGTATCCATCTTCTTTCCGATCCCTCTCAGGCTCATACTTTGACGTTGTAAATTTTCCTTGGTCGCCATTGCTATGCTAAACCATACAGAAATGTATGCAAGACGCACCGCCAACATTATATGCATGAAATATTCAACGATTTCAATACAAAGGAATCCCAATGCCCGTTTTCCAAAGCTAGCAGGAGACATCAATGAAACCATAGAGTTCAGAACAGAACTGTGGAGGGATCATCAGATGATGTAAATCGATCAAAAGTATAGGTGTAAAATTATAGTTACTTGATGGAAACTGTTGAAATTGTTCATCAAATAATCACCTCATTTGTTCATCGATAAGTCGATCACAACTACTGATATGTTCATTTTCTTTCAGATATAGATCAGAGCCTTTAACACGATTGTTGAGACAGGATCCATCCTGATTAGAACCGCTTACACCACCGGAGAGCAAAGACTCTCTGAAACAGAGTTATTTAATAGGTTGTTTGCGCGACAGACTAGTAAGTCTCAGGCAGCATTCACACTTAGCGATGACGCGCGTCGACGCGCTGTGAAGCACATCGATGCGTGTCACCGCGACATTGAAAGCTGCCTTTGTAATAGCATCATTGTGATCTGTGGGTACAAAGACCTTATTCAGACCTTTGCAGTTGCTGTTGCACATTGTCGCGTGCTCTGCGAAACTCCGTACCATAATCCCGTAAAATTTCGCGATGCCTTCGAAGGGTATGCTGAACCGCCGGATTCATCGCCCAACCAGCTGAACTTTGCGCTCCAACAACATCATTCATCTAAATAAGGCTGAACATGATGTCTATAGTTGGCCGAACGATAAGCCCTAGACGTTCTCTGATTAGAGCCTGATATTTCTCAGAATGCGAGCACCGACCTCCTCCTCCCTCCTCTCTCGCTCGAGGAAACGGTAGTTTCGGTAAGAAAGTGGAGGAATTCTGAGCCAAGTCCAAAAAAGTTGGTGGTAGTAACTCGCTCACCAACTTTTTCGGACTGGGGAGGGGTGGGGGGTGGTCACACCCTAGAAATCAGATTGATAAGATTCATTTCCCTACAGCCGCGTTTATACTTTGCGACTGAGGAGACAGGTACGCTAGGAATCGTTGCCGATCGATATCTACCCACTCCTTTGAAGCGCAATCACCCTGAACATCGGATAGTCGATTCTACCTCAATCGCTAGACCAATAACCACACTTTCCTCGTCGAGCAATCTAGCATTGCTGAGCGTTTTGAGTCGCCAAATCTCCTCAGTTGCAAAGTATGAACATTTCCTAACACTTGACTTTAATCAAAACCGTCCTAGACCCTTTACGATACTCCGACTTGCTACCTAGGCATCGCCAGCCACAAGGTCTTCCCTCCATACTGCTGACTACTCGCAATCCACTTTTGACATTAAATAAAAGAGAAATTAAATAACCTCATCATTGACGTGCGTGAGTTTGGTCAACAGTCCTTCTATCTCTTGAGTTAACGTATCAAAGAGTGCTTGTCGTGCGGATATCGACTTCTCATCGCTATCTAGTCGCCCTAAATCACCAAATATAAAAAAACTATGATAAAAATAATGTACAGCTCAAAACTGCGCATTACTCATCAAACCTGCATGAGAATTCAATTTGTTCAGTGATACCAACTTCACATCGATACTGTTCTCTGCTGATCGTGCTCGTTTGCGCAGAGCTTGAAAGAAAAATTAAATGAGACGCTCTCACATATATAAACGCCAAAGAACAAAGGAAATGTTGACTGCATTCGCTTTCAACTAGTTAAGTGTCTCGAATAAAAGTAAATATATAACTTAGATCATTAACTGAAAATCTGTAACCCTCAACCCATATGATATAAAATAGGGTACTTCTCAAAGTTGTACAAGCTAGCCTAAGTAGTCCGGTTCGCAGTCTCAACGACTGTCCCACTTTCGCGGCTCCACAGTAAATAGCGAAGGCGCTGCAGTCCCCATGTGGCAGTTCTGACGCCCCTTAGCTGTCCCGCCCATCAAAACCCATAGCGCTATTTTCTGTGATCAGTTCAGTTTTTACGCAGTGTTTTAGTTTTTTTTCACTATCAACTGCTATAAGCATTGTACGCCGATAAGAAACGATGGGTCAGAGTCGGTGGGATATCTTTGTTAGCATAGAATGAGCAGGTCAGGAGACCCCTCACAATGAGGTCGCCCTAGCTTAGAATGAGCAGGTCAGGAGAACCCTCACAATGAGGCCGCCAGGATATTCTCTACTTGGGGTATTCTCTATGATTCTTGTATTTTTCTTCCCTAGAGAGCCACTCAATGG